ATATATCCGTTTGGTGTGTAGTAAATTCGAAAACGACTAAATTTGTCATGGCTTGCCGTCATATTTCAGTCGAGATCTATCAGATAAAATTATCCAGCCCGTTTAAGCATATCGATGTCAACTTATTAGCACATGTGTTTTACTAAAAAACATATACAGAGATAAAAAAAACATACATATAAAAGACCGCACATAGGACAAAAGAAAAACACAAGCTGGGTTCATCCGATAATGACGCGTGTCGGTTGCGTTTTATTACGATTAACAAATAATTTATAACTTCTACGTACACTGTCGTAAACCATTAGCGTTGTCTATTTGCTTAAAGCCTATAGACAGTTTCTCATTTTCCTTTCATCGTATCCCACGCGTCTCCTATAATAGTAATAATAATAATAAAGAGTATTGCAAAACTTGTCCCAAGTTCAACTGTCGTAGCCAGGCTAAGTTCTACGCTGCAGGATCCCTTCCTGTTCTTTCTCTCCACTTTCAATCTCTGAAAGCGCGCCACAGTTACGATATTTTTAACGCCACGTTCAAAGCAAACAATTCGAAACCAAAAGTTTGTATGCCGGCGACGTCAGCCGAATATTTATACACATGGGGTACGTGTGATTTTAACGAAACGCGGTCGCAGCCAACGGCGGCTGAAACTGGCACAACTTCAAACAGCGCGATTTTCGCCAATGCATTCGTTCGAGTTAATTATTAATCAGTTATCGTATGGACGCAAAGTGATATGGGCACAAAGCTAAAAGCGCGCTCATTTTCAAACTTTGGCACTCGGCTGGCTGGCTTCAGGTCGTTAAGCTAAACGCTTTTCGATCCTATATTAGATAATTCTGTAAATCCATCGTAATATAATGTCTCGAGTATCGATGATGGTTAGTAAAGATAAATAGTACGTCAGACTGCTGTTATTTACTGCCAAGCGTATATATATACAATATTTTGAACGTTCGACGAGCGATGCCTTCGGAATTGCGCCGTATGTTCTACACACAATAGCATATTAACTAACTTTACCACTTACTGGTTCACGCACGACGGGAACACTGACCTGATAGATGTTAAATGTACTATAGAATACTGTAGTCTGCTGCGTTCCGACATATTAACCCAGCCGATTCTTCACCTAGAATGTTATCACTGCCACTGCGATCATGTATAACTATTTATTACCAGTAGTTGCCAGTGCAATGCAAAAGGCGAACGTGACTCGAAAAGTAGTTTTGCTTTTTATATTAAAGTAGCGGGCACAATTTTCCTGCCGCGTCATGTGCCACTCATCACCAACAGAAGGCCCCCGCGGTTTGTTCGAGTGGCGGAGTTGACCTAAACTGCAGACGGATTCGAAGTTAGATCGAAATCATCGTCACCTATATTCACTAATCATAGGCAATACGAGTCACGGATTGCTCTTTTAGCCTGATCGTCGCGGACAGAGTCCGCTAGCCCTAGGACGGCCAGGAAAGCAAAGGCAGAGCGGACCAAGGCAGATAAGCATATACTTCATTTGCCTTCATCGCAAGAAAGCCGCCTGCAAGCTTACTCGAATTCATGCTCTTTGGGTCCTTCCATGAGCACATTCTCGACGCTCCCAAACAGACCTGGTCCTTTTGAACTTCTCCCATATTTTCAGAGTTCTTTGGCTTTTTAGCCAGTAGATCCACCAAGAGACTTCTGTCGTATTTGTTCGGCGTTTTCCGTCAGCCCAAACTGTTTCAACTCATGGTCATTGTTTACTGCGCTAGGTACCGGCTACTGAAACCTAAAATGCCGAAAAAATCACCATTAACCAACAGAAGCTAAAGGTAGATGCTTCCACGATTATTATTATTATCACACATAATGTGTGTTGACAGCAAGAAAACACCTAGGCTAGGTTAGTTATTGACAGATAGGCAATGTTGGTTTTGCCGTAACAATCAAATTCGGTTAACTAAACGACATTTCCAATGCAATCGTACTGCGTTATGAAATTATCATTCCGACGGTTTTCCATCTTTCAAATGCATCACAAGATGTTCGTCTTTATGCCACGCAGTAAACGGAAATTAGCTGACATGGGAAACGTATTTTATTACCCGTTTAACGTGGGTTTCTTATGGGTTTAACATGGGTAACAAAGGGATCTCCGTTTCAAGCATGCTGGAAATCGAGTCAACGCCCGAAAGTCAAATAAAACTTGCATAGATATCTGTGACGGTTTGCTAATACTTTGGTTAGACAAACAGGATATGATAACAATTCGGATACGCTAATGCAGCATGGGGAGGAGTTTAAGAACTATTTAAAGAAACCATCGGAAACTTTGACGGCATGAAGCCGACTGGTCGTATGTAAAGTTCCTTGCGTCACCTACAACGGTAAAGGGCGTGACGAAAACTTTGTTAGGCACTAACATCCCGGTTTATCTATCCACCGTCTTCCAGTTTTCCCATTTAGTTTGTTCCCTTCTCTGGTTCCTTGATCTCCTCGTGTCCGCCTACTTCAAATCAGTGTCATGCGATTAACGAAGTAAAAAGTATGCCATGTCGTCGACACCACGGTTTCGTCTCATCAGCTGGAATATATGCAAAAAATGGGTGTATTTAGTGGGCGTACCTTTATGTTCAAATTTGTTCAGAGTTTCTAGGAAGTAACCACAGGTATTCTAGAAAATGTTTTCTCAACGATTCATTCGCTTGTAAATGCGTCTTGATCAAGGTGGTGTTTCATATGATTGGGAAAGTCGAAACCCGTTATATGAATGTTAGGCCCTGAGAATGACGCCGTACACAAAACAAAGTGTATCTACGTTTGGCTTCAAATCTGGACCACTATGTGTCGCGAAGTGTAGCAAGCCAAAACATTAACACGGCACTCACGGAGACATGTACGTTATTGGTTTCCAACTCAGTGTCCAATAGCTGAGTGCTTTTTGCGACTAACTATACCTCTGCCTGAATGGCCCTGAGGCTGGTTTCTGCAACAGGTCTTAAAAGACTATCTTTTCTACAAAGTTTGGTCGAATACATCTGGATGTTGCCTCAGGTATATGTTCTCATATAGTGCATATTTGGATCTGTGCGGTTCTGCAAATATCAATACGAGCGTACCCATTAAACAGCCTCTAGTCTTACCTATAGAGGTCTGCGAGTGCTGTTTAGATTACTCCAACGATTGCAGGCCGTGTGTTGCTAAGGTAACGTCAGCCAAGTTACAATAAGTCGGTTTCGTCCAGAACATCTATGGACTGTCACTTACATTACTACTTGTGTATATTGAATACGCTTGCTCCAGCCTTTTGCTGCAGTCTGTTGTTTTTTCAAGTAATAAACTTACCCAAAGGACACCGCATTAAGTTAGCGTCTACATTTGACCTCGATCCGCTGACCACTCAGAGATATACAGATTTCAAGTGGATTTGGAGACACGACAAGAGATTCGATTGCTGAAAATTGCTGCTGCTCGACAGAAAAAAGGTTGAGGTCAGAGCGCCATGATGTAAAGGGAGGGTCGGCTAACTTATCTGTGACACGAACTAAACGACGAAGTGATTTTTATTAAAAGTATTTTTTTTGCAAATATCTATAAGTTACTCGTGTAAGCCGTAGTTGATCGTTGATAGTAACTAGGTAATTGAATGAAGTGGTGAACGGTAGCCGTATGGTATATTAAGTAAAAAAAAAAAAGCATGAAAGTAGTCTAGGACCTGACGTAGTGAGATAAAAGTGACCACAATTTGTAATAAACACTGAACCAAAAGCAGATTGAGCCTTCAGCATCGCACTTAATGCCGTAAAGATCATATGTAATTAACCATTTTATTTGTCATATAAGCGATGTCACGACTGAGCACAGGTGGGCGCATGTCCATTATCGGATATATCAGAATTTTCGCCTTTTTCTGTTTCTTGGCGTAGTGCACATTTTTCAGTAGTACTCTAGTAGTGCTCCATTATAGTATATCGAGACCCGAGAATCACCAATGGATTCTTACGATAATACATTTGGACCCAAGATTGGCTATGTTTAACAATTGCAATATATACTAATCGTTTGGTAATGGATTTTCTATGGATGAACTTCGATTTAGTGACCTATCTGAAAGAAGGTCACTCACGTTAGAATACACAGTATGAATCTTACAATTCAAGAATAGCATCAACGCACTATAATAATAGATTAGTAGATAGGTTTTCCGTTGATTACTTATTCTGTACTGGATTTACTGGGTACCATAGTGTTAAATGTGCATTTTAATTAAGAAACATTCACATTGGCACATTATATGATCTCGGTGCTCTGAACATCTACTGAAAAAAAAAAAAGAGTTTATCAGCATTGACAATACTAAAATATCTTATTTATAACGATAGTTGGGAGGCGATCTGTAGTACTATATAATTTGCAACAATGGGTAGATGGGTTCGCGTATGGATCATATCCTTCAGCTTCCTTGATAAACGCCATTTTAACGATTATCACAAGTGCTCTTCTCGATACAAATGGGGATCGGTAAAACGTAAAGCATAAGCCTTTCCTTTTTCTATTTTTAGACGTGAAACAAAAAGCCAGAATGTATAACTTCAATCAACAGTCCCTTTTAGCGAAACACGTGATACAACGGAGCCCATCGAAGCGCGGCTTTTTGCAAGGCACGTGTCTATATAAATACCATTAGCATGCATAAAGAAAGCAAACTTATAATCATTGGCTACGTTGATACTGCCAGTCAAATCCAATATCTCTTTTTCTCGAAATTTAATCTATAGAAATAAATCAAGTTAGTCGGATTCGTTCAATAGCACCTACCTCAACATAGACAACTACTTTGAAGACCTTTCGCTTTTTTTACTACCAAAGCTTGGAATATCTCGGAATCCGGTTAGACAGTTGATATGGCAGATACGCGAACAAATTGCTTGAAGCCGCCGGTATCAGATAACAACGTTTTGAAAAAAACAAGTATCGGAATTGTCTATGGCTACAGCACAGCATTGTGCCGTGTCGAAATCACGTTCACGTATACGTAAATACGTTTCTTGTTATTATATAGTTATTGTCTATATACAGATATGCATGCCTTCTGAAAATTCATTACACCATAATACTTATCATACCCTGATTTTTATGCGAAATACCGTTTTTGTAGGTCGTCGTCGTCGTCGACGACGACGACGATAATGGTGATGACCGATTCGCACCTTTTATGAAAAAAAATGGCTTCATTAATTCGTTGAAAAAACAAGTAACCTCCTGCCGGCTTTTCCGTTGGTAAATTTATCTTGCCTAGGCAATTTGGACAAATGTGATTATATATGACTCCGCTTTTCTGAGTCGTCCCTGCTTCTTTATGATGCCGTAACGTAAACTTCAATTAATTTTGAAAAATGTGCACGTTCACATACGTTCACCTTTACTTTCAAAATTTCTACGAGATGTTTTCTGGATAACCGAGAAAAGAGTTTTAGCCAAAAAAATAGTCTCAATTTTTTCGGGCAGCTTATTTCATGGCGTCAATTATTCTGGTGTATTAAGTTAATTAAGCGTAACTGATTACGTGTCGTATAATCTCGTCAGTATGGAATTCCGCTTTTTTAACGTCGAAGTTGCTGTAGTACCAAAAGTTGATGTATGTCCTAGCGAGGCTGCGATCGATTTGTCCATATCTAGGCTTAAAATTCTATATTGTAACTGATCATATCGTCATAAATGCATAATATACGCACACTGTATAAGCACTATACACGATTTTGCTTGCGGTTCATTATAATCATTACATGAATAGTCTTCTGTGCTTCAACACTTTACCTCGGCTTTTTACGTACAGATGGGCCTACAAAATATTCACACATTCACAAATGGGTTACTGTGCACGAAAACGCTACATAGTCATAAATACTGATATACCAAATTGATAGTCGGAACAGCTTTTTATTGTATTTTGTCCGAATGAACAACGTGGGCCCGTGAAAAGTTTCCCCCTCTCACGGATCCGTAAATCAGTATAGACGTCTCCGAAACGCTGGTAATAGACTGGACTAACATGAGGATCGAAAACAAACTGGGATCTTTTGAAAAGCGTCCCTGAAAATGTCTGCCCTAAAATGTTGGGCCTACATTGCCCTGAATGGGTTTGAACTGTTCAGGTTTTTGGGGCGGAGTTCCCTAAGTATTGCAACGCTTGCGCTATAACGTAAGAATGTCCGCCTATAGCTAGGGCCCTGAATATTCTGTCTATGGGGTTGGACTATTCCATAACTACATTTTATGAAGGAACTGCTCGCTTGTGTATGAGGCACAGATGCACCGGTTATGCGCCGGGCACGACTGTGCTATCTCAGTGGTTCGTGCTCGTCGCGCGACAGAGATCCGCTATGTTGAAGAAATTGTCAAACATAAGACTGTAGTCGTCATCGTTTCCATTATCAATAAGATTCATCCTGGACTTATGAATTCCGATGCGTATTATTAAATATATCATATTTTAGAATTGATTTTCTGCAAACCAAAAGATGTAACGAGTCAGAGAAGCTCAGCTCTTAATTAGCAAGCTTAATGAAACAATAGGGAACGTACGTCATCGAACGTACATATACGCGTGTGTACGTTATGAAATTTGACTTTTTAACCCCCTCAATCCTAAAAGCGGGATTTTTGACAGTAAGAAGACATTATATATATATATAAATCACTAAATATATCATATCACTAAATCCGCATATGAATAATCGTATAGCGCAAACATCGACTAATAGTGGCTATAATACTGCATCATATTACTAAGAAAGTCGCTGAAGGGGCTTCATTTGAACTTCGTCTAAAATCGCCGGTATGTTGACCACTGTTCTACTTGTCCATGCGTCAGAGGCCATGTATCTGTTTCGGTGTTCCATACTGTTCGCTCGATTGTATTTGCAAGCAATACAATAATAAAGCTAAAAAAAAAAAAAAAAAGGTAGAATGTAATACATTTGGAGATCGATTTTTGATGGCTAGATGAAAATTGCACCATAACTATATGTGCCCTGCATGTCTTGAGTGATCCACTCCGTTCACAAGCTAAACAATGGTAGTAGTAATAACAACATAAAGTAACGATTACGGGAAACAAGCGTTTTCACTAATAAAAACGTCAACTCAATGTTTAATGATGTGAGATGAAGATGCGGAAAAAATTAACAAACCCCCGTATATTATTATCATACTATAGTTGATTACAGTATAATACTATACGGTACTACGGATGTTCCTCTTGTCGTAAACACCGTTAGCCGGTAGTCAGAAGGTGCGAATATAGAACTTCACCACTGGTTTTCCTATATACATTAATACATGAATCACAGGAGTTCTTTTGTAACTAGCAAACTTCTATGAGGTATGCAACGACACCTATACAACGTCTTCTTAGCGAATGAGCCTTGAAGCCAGTGTCAACGTACTGAATCCGATACAAAAGCGTCATCTCTTCGCCATAGTGGACTAACAATTTTTTACTTTCATTTTCTTCCAAATCCATTCTGGGACTCATTCATTTGACCTAGATTAGTTTTGTCAAAGCCCCGATTTCGGCCCAATTTGTATTCACACGTGAAGATTATATAGCCTAGAGAAACAGCACCACTGACCTTTAAAATAGCCAACAACGATATGACGACTGAGCCGAACCGAGTGAGTTCCTTTCTATATTTTGTTACTTTGCCAATATCAATAAGTCCAAATTGATCTACATAAGTTATTTGCAAAATGTAATCGCGTCCTACTGTCGACCAACCGATCTTCAGATATAACGTCGGATAAAGCTGGTAATTTAATTATCAGTTTCACAATCACTGGCATTGGGTCATAGCGATGGATCTTGGACCAAGTCCTCTGATTATAACGTTTTCTTTAATCTTGAACATAATAACTTTTCATAATTTCTAAACAGGAATATGGCATTGCCCTATAGCACTGTTTATTGAATTGCTTCATGACTATAAAAACGGGACGTGCGATACAAATGAACATTAAAGCTACTAGTGTAAAATACGTTATGTAAATAACGTTTTTACTTCATGTTTACTTGCCGCATGACCCATAGAAGCTTCCTCATATGACTTCCATATGAATCCACATGACCTTTTTTACTCTATAATGGTGCCTAGCGTGTATGGTATAGCAGCATAATTTTTCCAGAGTCACAAAAAGACAGTAATTGCAATTTAAAATCTGCTTGGAGAAAAACTTCACAATAGGATGCTTGGAAGCGTTTCACTACCCACTGCCTAACTAGTAAATAGAGATATTCAAGTAGATATCCCAAATGTACGAATACCACAATTCGAAAGCGCAACCATATTGGTAACACTTTTCGGCGCAGCAAGCAGAAATCGTACGTTTGCTTTAGACCAAACAACACGTTTTAATCATTAACAAATAAAATAGTTCTTGTTCGTTTGTTCAGTACGGATTGTACTATTTATCAAAGCTACCGCCGGTCCCTCCACTCGATCTACCGCAGCTAAATTATACAGCGCGCGGCATACAGATTCAACAGTCGGAATCTATCACTTATGCTCAAAATCGGCCTATTCACTAGACCCTAAACAGCCTTCGGTCCGCTTGCCAAAATTTGGCATGATCATGTTTAAGACTAGAACTGTACTTCGACTAGATGGGATCCTGAGCTATTGATCCTATATTCCGGGAGGTCTGTATGCATCCCAGTAGCGCGTTGTGAGCACGGGTGCGCTATACCAATATCGGGTGTTTCTTCGCGACCTTAGAGGATCACTCCAACAGAATAAAACATTGAGAGCCTAATAACAGCCTAAAAATCACGAGAATGGCACTAATAAATCTCTTTTTCTATTCCTTCGATAACGTTATGCAATGCAACGACACAGCGGATGGGTCGTTGCTTTGAACAGCTATACAGACTCACACATAGACTGCTTACGTGCGCCCACGACTTCCCTACGTGAAAACGGCTACCTTCTGTTCGGATACGGATCTGCACTTTCAACTGGTACTGAACATCTTCAGGGTTACGTTAGATTTAATACACCCAGACATTTCAATGATATGACAAATCCAGAGCTGCTAGTAAAATGGCCGAAACCTCAAATATATACTATAAAAACCGCTTATCATGGTGGCACAGCTATCACCAGGAGGAGACAGTTACCATTGACGACTTTTATGGACGGTTACCATGGCACGAACCGCTTAAGATTTGTGATAAATATCCCTACAAAGTTGAAACGAAAAGAAGCTTCGAAGAATTTACGTCTCAACAAATAATAATTACTTCTAAATTCCCATCCAGATAACTGGTATAAATTTATTGGCTATGACTCACCTCCTTTGCTAAGTGATCGAATTAATTGTTTAGTTAAATGCGAAAAAAATTATCTAAAAATTACATCATTTAATAATAATACTAAAGAAAAATATATTGTATTTGTTAATAAAGCTTTTGATTTTATTCAAGAATACTTGTTTACTCCTATATATCCTCCTATATATATAATGTGAAAAAAATTGTCAAAAAATTACATCATTTAATATCTTTTATAATATAATAATACTTTTCACATTTAACTAAGCAATTAATTCTATCGCTTAAAAAAGGAGATGAGTCATAGCCAATAAACGTATACCAATTATCTGGATGGGAATTAGAAGTACTACCTTTTTTAGACGTAAATTCTTCGAAGCCTCCCTTCGTCCCAACTTTGTAGGGATATCTATCACAAATTTTAAGCAGTTCATCCCATGGTAACCATCCATGAAAGTCATCCATGATAACTGTTTTTTCCCGGTGATAGTTGTGCCACCATGATGAGCGGTTTTTATAGTGTATACCTGAGGTTTCAGCCATTTTACTAGCAGCTCTGGATTTTCCCGTATGAGTTGGGCCAATAAAGATGTAAACGTCAGATCTATAGTTGCGAGGTGTAACGGGAACGAGAAGATTTCGTAATTGATGAAGTCCTCTGTGGTAACGAACGTAAATGGACGAAGTTTCTTGGGAAATTTGTTGTGTGCTTGCATTGTCATGTAGTGAGCGATGGCAGGCTGCTTCGAGGTCCGATCTTTGGCCTTGACTATGGATTTTTCCGAATTCATTAAATGTTCCAGATTTTGAACAATATTTATAATTGGCGCGGTTGGTTAGTTTAGCTTTTTCGATGTGAGCCGATAATGATAGTGTCGCTTGGACTTTAACAAAGGATCGGGGGTTAGGAAATCTAATGTAGCATTGTAAATGTCTAGTATTAGGAGCGAAGCATCACCTTTTGGCTCGATCCATAGTGTCAGGTATGAGCCAAGCAACTGTTTAAATAGTAAGTGGAGAGGGTAAACGAAAAGGGAAATGTAGCGAAGCGACTGCTTGGTCATTTCGCGACAGAACTTCTCAAGCGGTCAAAGGTCATAGCATGAGAGTATAAAAGGAAGGAGCGGTCGAGATAAGATCAGTAATCAAGTGCCACTTATAGCAATAACATCGGCTAGCGGGGCAGACCCCCCTAGTTCCTTCAAAAGGGGATACTGCGAACGCTCACAGAGCGAACGTTTTGCTGTGCACAATCTTCAAGTGTTTTATTTACATGACTGATATCGAATTAGTCCCTTTAGTACCAAGAGTAAGACAACCACTTAAGAGAAGAAGGAAAGGAGGAGTAAAGCAAGGTTTGTTAGGGTTGGTATGGGGTTAACTCTAAAGCCACACGGTGGTTCTATGAAGCTTCTCATGGGCCAATGCGCTCATTTCTTTGTACAGCTCTGCCAGTGCATGTCGTTCGGTCTTGCCAATGCACCTTCGATGTTCCAGAGGCTGATGGACAATGTTATTAGGGCTCTAGCGAGATGGCTCTCATCTACTTCGAAGATGTCTACTTATTTTGACATTCACATAACTCACCTGGAAAAGTACTGAGAGCAAGTGACTGTTGAAAGAGATGCACCTTGGCAACTTTAAGGAATGGTGTTTCTATGCCACACAATCATGGCCATCAGAATTCCGTGAAGGCCCGGGTGGCCACACCTTACCGACCTCATGTTGGCTGAAACGCTAAAAAGTTGCTTGAATCTAGGTTCCTGTTACTGGCTCTTAACAGAGGATTCCCAATTCAGATGGCGACGATCACACGCTCGCTCTACGCGAGATACCTCATTTGGAACGACCACCACTACAAGCCTATTGGCTATTGCAATCCAGTATCACAGAAGAGTTCGTCAAGTAGGAGGAGCATTTTGTCCAGAATTAACGCGCTGAGCTCCGACCTTACACGGGTACGATTTTGGGGTCCCACTAACGCTAATGTTTAGCCTGATAGTGCTGGTAGTACAAAACAACGTCTCTGAAGTACACAGGGCACAGAAAAGTGACTTTTATCTGAGCAATTAGAGGGAGGGGCTTGCGTTCTAGCGTGTATACTCAAGGATGGCGTAGCCTGGCGAGTCAAGAGTAAGCGAACGTTGTTTAACGTTTTATTCTTTAAGGTGAAGGAAGCTACCACTTTATGTTATTCTAAGGGGAGCGGTCGACTTCGGCATCCAGAAGACGTTACAACGCATTATGGAGACTTTTTTTATCCGTTTCGGAGGCGTGGGCCCAACGTGAGGCTTGCCAGAGACGTGGCGCGATGCGCTGTGCCGGCGCCGAATTTTCCCGTCGAGATGGTCAGGTTAGCCTTTATGGGCTACCTGAAAGTACCAGGCAGTAAATTTTTCAGGTTTTAGTAGTGCCGTTGCGCAACGGAAAGCGGTATGCCACGAAATAGTGCCGGAGCACGTACAGGCAGCTATGATAATAAGCAATGGCACAAGAAAGTGCGGTTTGAACAGAAAAGTCTGTCCCATACAAGTTCGAAAACAGCATGAGCCTTCTGGTAAAGGGCAAACGAGCAACATCGGAATCTATGTAGCAGCTGTTTCACTGTGGGCCATTTACTATTGTGAGCCGAGTGACCCCATATGGTTAAGATATTCTCACGCCTCCATGCCAGCAACTGACCATAAAAGCGAACTGTATATAGCAGTATATTAGGAAACATTTTTTGATAGCACGGCCGAATGTAAAGACGCGCCGAAAACATATTACATAGTTTATATCTGTATACAGAATGCTGTATGAGGCGAAAGAAATTGCTAGTTGTAAATTTTATTTATTTTTTATATTATAATAACTTATATTATTATATATTATAAAGTTTATTAGCATTCGTGCTTTTACGTTTCATATGCCGTTAGCACGATGTAAAGACATCGGGGCCGTCTTGCGCGTGGATCATCATAAGCCGTAATAAGGGCTTGCGTAAACCTGAGGAGCACGCAAGAAATACTGGAGTACCTTCTATCTAACCTAGTACTGCTGACTTCATAAAAATGTTGTTTATAAAACACGACAGTAGCTAAGTTAATAATGATAGCCAGCAAATACACAGAATACGAGCTTATATATCGTACGTTGCTTTTTAACCAGTAACCGATTTAATAGATTTAGTTATCAATCACTTCAGAAAGAAACTACTGATCTACCTCAAACCTAAATAAATTTGGTCTCAAGACGTTATTCGGATTACGTCATTTTGTTCAACATGGCCTATATTGTCGTCAAATCTCGAAAAGTAGATACCACAGGTCCTGCTATTAAACAATCGCTATTTCTATCGCTGTCGTGTCTGAGATGGCTATTATTGCATTTGTGCGTCTACCTCTCTATCAACAAAGCGATTATTATCCTCAAAACTCGTAAACACTTTTCCACAGACGTGACCACCATCATCTACAAAACCCACCCCAGTAGACACATCAACTAGTGGCCAGTGGCCAACACAGGAATTATCAAAAGGGTCCGCATATGCTAGTGCACCAGCTTCAACGGGAAAACTTTGTATGCGTTTATAGAAGATGCGATGCTTACAATGGATGATCACTTAGCATAACAATTAGGATTTAGGTTAAATACTAAATATTGATGAAGGAATACAAGGCTTACGTTATGAACAAGCATTGAGGGTGGCTAAAGTTCCGGATGACGGCCGGCAAAAATTTATAGGAACGGAGGGTTTGAAACGAAAATACCAGAATTGTGCAGGCTCGAATCTGAGCGTGCTTAAAATCAGCAGTACGACATTCGACATTTGACCGTGATGATATTTAGTTATGTTTATGTCGATAGAAACGATCCATTCGTCTTTTTGCAGGCAAGTATCATATATATACCGGCAAGCAACTAATAAGCACGTAGATGATAAATTAGGTGGTTGCGTTACCTACCCTACATGGCCAAGCACCTTGCTCCTTTTTCCCAATCAACTGTACCAACCGTTCTAGTTGTTCTTACTAGTAAGTTTCACTTACTATTTTCGTTTATACGTGTGGATTGGTGTCTCGCTGACGCAGTTACGGGGCCCTGTGAAGTATTCCATCGTAGATGATCTGTAGGGCGTCGTTCTCTCGATGACCTTGAGTACCCATATCTGGCTTCGCGTCAATATGTCTTCATCGAAGCTACGTGCACGAGATGAGCTTAACTGATAGCCAGCACTATCCCATCCTGTGAAGCGGAAAGCTGTCTTCTGATTCACCATATTCGTACGAGTATTTAGCTAAGGTATCGAAGATCTGTTAAAAAAGAGCCTGATTAAACGTCTGTAGGTACGAGCATGTTGGCTAGAAGCCGCACATGCTTCGGAGGATCGTTCTAATAGTAGAGCGTCTCTAGAGAGATAGAAGTAGATCTCACTTAACCAGTATAGCTCTTATATCACGCACGGTACACCTATATCTCGGTCTACCTTCTTACTCAAAGCGCTTTGACAGAATGATAACCCACCATCGTTCAAAGATGGGAAACTACGCCCTTGACCTGGATGTCGCTGATTTCTAAAAACGTTTATTGGAATGATAAATGAATGAAAGCCATGAACCACTTATCAAGGAAGATTCCGTTTTCATTTCGCGGGCTTTCACATTCTACTGTATGAACTTAGGATGAGGTCCTTGCTCAAGACGACGCGTACAAAAGGAGCACACAAACTGAAATACTGTGCTGGAACTAATGAACCCATCTCCCTTATTTGACTCCTATTGCTTTCCTAAATAAAAAACTTAATACACTGGGAAAGATCCTAAATTATTGTAAATAAAATTCATGTGGTAAATTCAATCTTGTATGCAAGAGACTTTATGCTTTTCACTGATCCTTAAATCTCTAGATTTTCTCCATTCAGTGATTTTTGAAAACCTAATTTCTAACAGTTAATTAAGTTTTTTTAGTCGGTGCTCTCACAACTAATAAATATCTTCTCCATTATACCACAATAACTAATGGTGATTAAAAAAAATCAAAAGACGTTTTTTAAAGGCACAGTTAAGCCCTTCATTTTTTCCTTTGTTGCTTTGTTTTGTCTGATTGGCTGTTACATAGAGCTGCTATCATTGCTGCCTTGGTATTGGTAATATTTGATCATTATTTTACATATCAATATTATAATTATCGTATTACATTAATATGTTCACACTGTTTGTTGATAACTGCTATCATTTCGTTCATCACCTTTTTTTTTATTTGATATTTGCTGTTCGTTTACCCCTTTCGCCTGTCTGCCTGCTCATCCGTCCACAAAGTGTATTTTTATAGGTGTATATGAATGACTTTCGCACGACGTCGTTGTAATAATGATAGGCATAAAAGCCAGAAATAAACCCCTCGCAAGGGCAGCTATAATAATAACTATATCACATGCTACATGGGGACTGTTTAGCTCGTTTCTATGCCGTCTTCTGAGCATCCCCGACCATCCCATTCCCCCCTTCTCTCGTACCGTATTGGTCATCATCATAATTGCCATCATGGCCATGTCGTTACCACATGTCTTCTTCCTGTCTCAGTCTATTTAACCACCGTGATGGTTACGATATACACGGGACGACGTGCTCATCGATCGTTCCTCTCATTATATAGCCGCTTTTTAAATGGTTGAATAGCAGTCTATGCTTCTTGTATGTACGCACAAATATCCAGTTATTATTCTCCTGCTCTCGATTTCGTTCTGATCTGTAGTAGATAAACATCACCTCAATCGCTTATCACATGGATTCTATTTCTTGATAATCTGATTCCAAGCAAATATCGTAAATGATTACTAGCTAATGCTGAAGATTGACCCCAATCACAATTTTTGGCAGATGTATTAACTATAATATTTGCGTAATCAACGGACAGCTTAGATCAATATATGATTTCCGCAAGAAAATGTTAGGGAATCTGCTTTAATAATAATATGCCGATTCCGTAAATCTCAAACAAAATCATGTTGAGGTCTGTGATTACCAATTCGGCATTGTACCTCGCTTGAACAACTAATAGAACACATATTGTGGAGTGTAGATAGTTTCCATTTACCTTTCCTATTATAACAATTCACTAGTGTTTTTATGCATTATTTTGTGCTTGTTTCATACTACTAACAATGAATACACGGCGTAACCCTTCATTTTCTTACGTTCTTTTACCCCTAGCTACTTCGTGTAAAGTCCACTATGTAGCTTTCCCTCTCTCTCTCTCTCTCTCTCTATATATATATATATATATATATATATATATATCCATCAACGATTATCGGTCAGTGCCAAGTGAAGAAGCTGTTTTAGTAGCTCATGTCTGCAGCCCTCAATCTTCCAAGTCAACGTTTATATCGTGTGATCATCAGTGAGCCTACTCCAATCAGGGTTAGAAATCTCGAATGAGGCTGCTACTATATTAAGGGTTATAGTCTTTATAGTGATTGGTACTATCATAGAATTAATTGCTGCTGACTGAACTGTCCTTGGTCGAGCTGTTACATAGATGGGGGCAAATTTTAAGCGAAGACAGTCTTAGAACTAGTACCTTTTCACATGTTAACATTAACGGAATAATCTTTTCCCAGCATCATCCTGATTTTTCTCCTTTGTAGTAGTTGTTTATGACGCCAAAAAGATTAGTACTTGTAATTGTCCACTATCAACCAGTAGTCAGTCATCAATCATCGTCATTCCCGTTGTGAATGTTCCATATAATTTTGTTAATTAATTTCCATGCCGTTTCAGTTCTTCCTGTGTGATTTAGACAATATGTAGATTATAGATATATATATATATATATATATCTCGGTCGATATATTTATTGCCACGGGTAGGGGATGATTATCACGAACTAGTTCAGGCCTTCTTCCGGTTGGTCATTGTTTGCGCGGGCTGCTGGTCCTGCATGTCGTGGTGCATTAAATTGCCGTGCTTCAGCCGAAGGTGTCGAAGAATGTCCGTCCTTTGGAGGGCCCGGTAAGGAGAGTGCGGACATGGGAATGGCCATTCCTTATGGTGCACCGTTGCCATATGATGACGGACCGAATATGCACCCCCGGCACCGAACCTAAGTAATAGAACGAGTGAAATGCGTACGTTCATTTCAAAACATACATGAACAAGCGTATATTATGATGTAAACAAAGACTGATTCATTGAGCCAGGAAATCACTTCGCGACTATCTTCGCTGATGTATATGAAAATACGTTAAAGTGACGCAAATCAAATAATCACGAGTAGCCAATTCGTGGTCAGTTGCTTCAACGGTCACTTCTCATTCATCGAGGCTTACCGCTTTAAACAGACGAGGCAGGTGTGCTGGTCCAGGATATGGCCAGTTTTTCCCAGCTGTTCCATTGCTAGGCCGTCGTCCTCAACAACAGCTTCACCATAAATAATAGCCTCGGCCTCCTCGACAACGATACTTCTCCCATCGGCTGGTTCTTCCTCGATCGCTTCGACTTCTTCGATCTGAGCGATCTGCTCCATATGCTCATTGAGGCAGCAGTGCCTCGGGGCAAAGCCTTGCTGAACCAATACCGACTGTTTCGAAGGTGGACATTTCAAACGAAGAAGTTACCGGCGGGTTCTCAGCAACCGGTAGCAGAACTCGGGTATTATTTTGATTTTGACTATAACTGCTAGCAATAGTCATTGTAGCTATTACTGTCGCGACTGCGTTCAGTTCCGTGCTTCTCGATCTTCCGGGCTTCCACTGTGATTAACAGTACTTTCCAGGCAATTGCGTTTCAACTTGAACCTGAAGTCAGTTTGATTTTTGAGAGAAAGGTTGTCGGTGTATTTCAAAAGAGGTGACGAGTTCGTTTTGTTATCGTATGCGCGTCCCCCTATATCCTCTCTATGTGGCCTATTTATCAGTGTTACTGAACTAAGCGTAAAAGTATAATAGCTATGCCGCCCTCCTTGTCCTCCCCTATCCTCAATATATATGTATATGGATGATAATTATATTTTGCATAAAAGCAATTTTGACACAGACTCATTTATGCTGTAATGTAATTCCCATCTTTACCTTGTAGCTATTTATAGCGTTTCGAGATACGGCCTTTCTGTTGAAACGGACCGCGCTTGACGAGAGGTTGTTACTCTCGTCAAGCACGATCTAGCGTAGCTTCGATAAAAGATACCTCGTGATCAATTATCTCTAGTGCTTAGTAGACCTATTTATTCGGAAAGTTCTAATAGGTGCATCCATTTTTAGTAGAAGATGTTTTATGTTGTGCAGGTCTGACGGCACATAGGGCCTTTCCTTCGATTTCTTCGGTAGCGAATACGTTGCTAACAGCCTTTAACGTTTGATAAGCACGAATGCGCCAAATCGGTTTCACCAAATCTCTGAAAGAAAACAGCTCCATTAGTTTGTGTAGGAAACTACAGAACATAATAGTGCCTCATTTTTTGAGTGTATTTTATAACAGTCTATATACTGTGATGAGCTCGCCGTATGCAGCCATATCCATAATAGGGCTACGCTTAAACACTAGTTACTCGCCGGAAGAAAGCTGTGCAATTTATTGTTCGTAGATCCACTCATTTTGACCAGTACTGCTTACATTAGCTACGAGCAAAACATTTTACAAATGTTAAACCTTTACTGATCAATTTCCTTCGGTATATTAGCTATGCAGTAACCTATTGACAAAAGAGTAACTTACGGTGCTCCCCATATATACAATGTATTCAGCCACCCTTGTCCGCTTCCATTAGAGGTAGGTGTACAATGCTATTTCCAATTTACTGTTTTAATATACGCTCCAATGCTACCTAGGTGCGTGGAAAATTATAACATATGATATCGGTGACGTCGCGCTTCTCTATGTTTGCCTGAACAACCAGCAAAACGCGGGTTCCGCACAGCCATATATCTTCTTCATTTGTTCTCTTACCCATAACTAAATATGATTTATCAAATTGATTACTGATCACTAAGGGCGGTAGAGTGGTAACGCTGTTACGTGTCAGTCTGGCAAGTCAAACTTGAAACTACGAGTAACCAAAAATTGTCAAAATTAGATAGCTCGTAGCCCAAGTCATATAAGGAAATATGTGGTCGAAGGCAGGATGTACAGCCCTGTGAACCTTTGACAGAAAACAATCTATAACAACAAATGGTTAACATCTGTTGTTTTATAATGATCTTCTACCTTACTATTATATCCTTTCTATATTTATTATAGTCGGATTTTATTCGTTGTTTGGCCAAGCACGACTCGTCGTACATACAGTTCGGTGGTCTTTTTTTTTGCTTCATAATCTTAATAGGCAGGTGATGTCTACACAATCCGTTTAGACGAAGGAAACGACGGTCCTATATATATATATATATATATATATACATATATAT